CAAGCACTCAGCTGAGGCCATCGCCCTGGAGCAGAGCCGCCTGGCCCGCTTGGACCCCCACCCTGAGCTGCTGCCTGAGCTTGGCTCCCTAGCCCCTGTCAACCCCTGAGAATCGACCATGCCCTCTGTGTGTGTCCCGTCCACCCCCCCACCCCCCGGTGGCCACCTGCCTGTCCTACCTGCTGCTCATGACCCACTGCCGTCTTTTCCCTTGACACATTCCTCTGCCGGAAACCCCAGCCAGGCCCTGGAGGTCTGACAGCCCCTGCCCCAGAGCTGGTTCCTCCCTGGGGTATGACTTCCGGGCTGGCCACCCTCTGTCCCCCATCCTCAGCTGAGATTGGATGTGATGTAGTTGGGCCTCTTACCAACTGGTTTCTTTTGTTCTCATTAAATGTTAGGTTTGATAACGAGCTGTCTGGCTGATTTGAGGGAGGGGCAGGACACACATATAGCATCGGGGATATGGGTCCAAGGGGCAGAAGGGATGAGAAGCAGACTGGGCAGGTGTGGCTTCTGTGGACAGCTGCCCAGAGGGAGGGCAGGGTGCTGTGGGCATTCTGTGGGACAGGGGCTGAAAAGGCAAATCCCAAGGTTAATATTTGGCAGGAGGGTGTGGCATGGAAAGAACCACCATCGTTGAGTTTGCAAACCCTTGGAAGGGTTTTGCTGTCAGGTCCTTCCTGCTATGAATTGTATTCCCAGCATGCAGTCCCTCTACCCTGTTCCGGTCTCAGTCCAGTTTGCAGAACACAGAGTTGAGGAACTAGTGTGTATCAGGGACCACAGGCGGGTGGGGCTGTGACGTGGCCAGAGGCGGAGCTGGTGGCAGGTGAGCCGTCAGGTCTCCCTGGCTCCAATCACTCCGGAGATTGAGCCATGGGGCAGCAGGACGAGGAGGCCCATGGTGAGGCTGAGGGTGGGAGGCAGCCTAGTGAGGGAGGGGAAGAAAAGAAAGGGAATGATTGCTAGGCTGCTGCTCCTGAGCCTACGAGCAGAGGGGAGCCCTGGGTCCCCAAGGGGAGGGCCAGGAAACAACTGCTGATGAAAGGAGGCAAAGCCAGGTCCTGGAAGAGGAGTGAGGCTAGGGCTGGGAGCCCTTGCTGGGGCCTTTGTGGGGAGAAGTTGGAGGCTGGTTTTCTGAAAGGGGAGGACGCATTTCAGAACGGGACTCGGTTTTCAAAGGGAGGGCTTGCTCTGGAAAGAGGCAGAGTTGGGGTCCTAAGCCTGGGATGATACTCAAGGACTGAGTCCCTTTGAGGACTAAAGTAGTGATCTGAGTCTCAAGAAGGAATGAGCTCAGGACTGAGAAGGAGAGGGAATCTCAGGGTTGAGGAGGAGTTTCCACCTGGACTGTAGGTCCCTGAGGAGAGGTACTGGGAGCCTGCCTGCTGGGGACTGTATCAAGAGTGATAAATTGTAGCATGATAAGAGGGTTTCTGTGGGGTGTCAGATCTAAGGATCTTTGTAGAAAGGGAACTGAAGTCTTCTCCAGGGTTGCTAAGAAGCAAGGAGTGAGAACTTGCCTCGGTATCTGAGGAATAACAGATTCTGGGGCTCCTGCGAATGATTAGCCCTAGGGCAGAGGGGGCTTCAGGGACGTCTCCAGAGTCCAGGTCTGAGGAATAAGGACTGAGAACCTGTCCCAGGGGTCCCAAGGAATAGGTATTGGGGGTTCCGAGAGAAAAGGAAACTGGGGGCTTGCCTCTTAGAGAGCCAGGTGAGCAGTAAGGGTGGAGTCCACCTGCAAGGACCTGGCAGGTTTGGAGGTCTTTCTGGGTCTGGAGGGGAGGCAGCCCTGAGGGAGAGGCCTCCCAAAGTGGGGCTTGGGTATAACATGCTAGGCCAAGGGGTGATGAGGATTCTCTGGTGGACTTCCTGGGTCAACTGGAAGTCAATCATTGGCCGGTAGGACAGAGTCCAGAGCACCTGAGGAGAACAGTCCCCACCCCTCACCAGTCTTTTGTCCAGCCAGACACCCTCCCTATACAGGGGAACCTGGCTATCTGGCCCCACCTCCTCCTGTGTGTACACTGGGAGGGCTGGGAATAATCTCAACGGTCAGGCTCAGGTATCACCATGACTTCCAGTCAGAGCGCAGGGGTGGCCTGGGGACTAGGGTCCCTTTAGGGGCTGCGGTCTGCAGAGCAGGCCTCCCACTCACCAGGGTTAAAGCTTCTTGCTTCCATTTTTCCCACCCCACAAGGCCTCAGGTCAGAGGATGGAAAAAAGGTTAGATACGCAGAGATCTGTGACCTCCCAGAGGGGCTCAGCTTCATGTGGTCCCTAGGATTGGTAGAGGGATGAGGAGAGAGGCATGTGAGCCACTGAGATGGCTGGATGCCCAGTCTCACATTTAAGCAAGAGGGAGACTTTAGATGGGGACAGGGGAGCAAAGCCATTTCCCTGGCTGCCAGAATCAACAGTATAAACCGGAAATGGCCCATAAAAGGCCCCCTCCCCTCTCTGCCAAGTCTGCCAGGGTGGAGTTCAGGGCCTAAGGCCAAGCTACTGAGATGCCGACCTGGCGCTGGCCCTATTTTTCCTGTGCTCCAGTGACCCCTCTTCCAGGACTAGCTGTTTTTCCCTTATCCATCCTTCCCACACTCTAGGTCTAGGAAGAATGGGGGAAGGCCAAGAAGTGGGGACACACTTACCTCAGTGCCTTATTCTCCACATTCCTTTCTGTGTCCCTCAGGGAAACCAGTCAAATACGACCCTTCCTTCCGAGGCCCCATCAAGAACAGGTGAGTAGGTGAGTTCATCCAGAACGGGATAGGGGACGGAGAGGAAACCAGGTTTTGCTTTGTACTTGCTGAAATACTGGTAAGGAGCTTACAGGAAAAAAAACAAGGAAAGTAGTGCATTTAGGGGGGATTGTTGAGTCTGTTGGGGAGCTTCGGGGGGGGGGGAAGCTTCCAGGAGTCCTGGTGGGCAGAATTTGTGAAAAGTTGAGGAGTTAGGGTCTAATGAGTTGTGTTATATATACTTTAGAAAAACTAGCCCACCTCACAAATAGCTTTAATTAAAAAATTCTAGGGAGAGTGAAGGGGAGGAGGAGAGAGGAAGGGAGGGTGGGAAAATAGCAGGAATGGGAGGGGAGAGAGAGGGAGCATAGATTAGCACGTGGATGGATGGGTTAGGTGAATGGAAAGAGTACAGTGAGGTTTAGACAGGACGATGTAAATAGTGGCACTATATAATAGTAGATAATGTTATAAGCAAAACATGTATGAGAAACTGAATGAAAACCAATTAAAAACAATGATCCCCACTCTGCAGTACTGATCCCCCAGAGGCCCTCCCCAGTGGCTTCCCCAGCTCAGACCCCCATTTCTCTCTCAGGGGCTGCACAGACATCATCTGCTGTGTCCTCTTCCTGGTCTTCATTTTGGGTTACATTGTAGTGGGCCTTGTAGGTGAGTTTCTAGCCTCCCACTGCTGGGGCTGGAGGAATGGGGGCAGGCACCCTGGGGGCGACCACGCCCATAGCTGCTACCCCACCAAGATCTTCACCCTCCAGTGATTTGTCTATGTGTTTTCATTTCCAGCCTGGGTGTATGGGGACCCCAGACAAGTCCTCTATCCTAGGAACTCCACCGGGGCCTACTGTGGGCAAGGGGAGAACAAGTGAGTAGGAGGGAGGGAGAGGGAGGGCGGGGACAACCCCTGCGGAGGCTCCAGACCCATCCATGCTCTTCCACATTCTTCCCTACACCCCACCCCACTTCCCCAGCCAGAGTCCAACTCTCCATTGCGAGAATTAGCAAGCAGTACACAGACATGGTGATGCGGGGGTGATTAAGAATCTAGTTGCTAACTGAAAAGTCAGCAGTTGGAATTCACCACCAGCCATCTCTTGGGAGGAAGATGAGGCAGAATGCTTCTATATAGATTTACAGCCTTGCAAGGAATCCCTAAGGGTAGTTCTCTGTCCTGTAAGGTGACTGGGGATGCGCTCTGTGGCAGTGGGAGAGTGGAGTAGACACAGTCTTGGGAAGTCCTTTGGTGGTGCAAAGCTATTAAGGCAAGCACTTGGCTACTGGCTTTTAAGATTAGTGGCTCAAGCCCGCCCAGAGGCACCTTGGAAGAAAGTCCTGGCAATGTGCTTCTGACAGATCCTGGCTTTGAAAACCCAACGGAGCAGTTCTGTTCTGCATTGCTACTCTTTTTTACAGGAGGGGTAACCGTGAGTCAGACTCTCCTTGCCAGCAAATGGTTATGTGTGTGGGCATGAGAGATCATAGCTGTGATCTGGTTGTATGGCCTTGTGTTGGTTACTTAATATTTTGGAGCTTTGATTTTCTTATCTGATTCCCATAAGTAATGCTGTCAGTTCCAGCATGCAGTAAATGTTCAGTTCAATAAATAATAAACCATCCAACACATAGTATTTACCATGTTCCAGTCAGGTGGTGTCCTTTACACATGTTAACTCGTTTGAACTTGATGAGAGATAGGTACTATTATTATACATGATGGAACCCTGGCAATGAGAGAGGGCAAGTGACCTGCCCAAGGTCATACAGCTGGTGAGTGGTGACTTGGCCTCAGAGTTTATAGCTGGTGTGATGCTAAATTACTCTGGGAAGTCTTGTGGGTAATTCCCCTCTACCTCATCAGCTGGACTTAGCTTCCTGAGGCCCAACCTTAAAAAAAAATGTGTATATTGCCACAGAGTCAGCACTGACTCATAGCTGACCCTCCAGCAGGTTTTCTGAGGCTGTAAATCACACAGGAGGAGACTGCAAGCTCAGCCTTTGGGTTAGCAGTGCAAATCCCCACTGTACCACCAGAGCTCCTTTCCTGAGGCTAGAGTAGATATAATGGTTCAGGCCATGCTGAGCCAACTGTACCGTTGAGACAAGGCTGCAGAGGTCAGTCCTCATACCTCTCGGGCCTGACCAGGCCCCTAATGCACCACACTTTCCCATCCTGCAGAGACAAACCATATCTACTATACTTCAACATCTTCAGCTGCATCCTGTCTACCAATGTCATCACAGTTGCCACAAATGGTCTGCAATGCCCCACACCTCAGGTCAGAACCTTGGTCCTGCCGCTATCCCATGTCCTCCGGGTCCTGGATACTACCAGCCTCTTAGCATGCTCTCTGCCCCTAGGTGTGCGTGTCCTCCTGCCCAGAGTCCCCATGGACAGTGGATAAACAGCAGCTCTCCCAGACAGTTGGGGAGGTCTTCTATGCCACAAATCGAAACTTCTGTCAGCCAGGAGTATCCCCAGAGATGGTGAGTACTGCCTCCAGCATCACAGAGAAGGGTCACGGGGCAGAGGCAGGTGACCTCAGCTGGAGGGTCACCAAGGTGGTTGCCCTGAGGGTTCAGGGCAGGCTGAGCCTGAGGTGGGGGTGGTGGGGTTGGGAAAGCTTACTCTTCCTTCTGCTGCTTTATGTCTGTGTGTCTGTCTATCCTCTTTCCCTCCCCCTCAGAAAGTGCTCAAAAGCCTGGAGCAAGAGCTCTGCCCTAGTTTCCTCCTCCCCTCCAGTCCAGGTAAGATGCATAAATTCCTTCCTTGGGAATCACCTATGCAAATATTTTTATTGCTCAGATGAGAAGACCAGAGAAGGTGTACAGTGCATCAGTATGGACCTTGTATGGGTCTCCGTTTCTCCCCTGACCTTGCATGCATAACCCCCAAGACAGACCTCACCTGTATACAAGGAAGAAAGTGAAGCCAGAGTGCTCCTTTGAGGCAAAGATGACAAAGCTTTCACACACACACTTTGTACATGTTATATTAGGAGAGGCTATTCCTTAGAAAGGGACATCATGCTTGGAAAGGTGGAGGGTTGGCAAAAGAGAGATGGATCAACACAATGACTGCAGCAATGGCCTCAGTATATAGTAGAGATGGTGAGTATGTCGCAGGATAGGACAGGGTTCAGATTTGTTGTTCATAAGGTCACTATGAGTTGTACTTGACTTAACAGCCCTTAACAACAGCACTATGTGCCGGGGAGTCCCTGGGTGGCACAAAGGGTTTACACTTGACTACTAATCTAAAGGTTGGTGGTTTGAACCCACTCAGAGGCATCTCAAACAGTTGTCTGGCACTCTGTTTCTGAAAGGCCACAACCATAAAAACTCTGGAGCACAGTGTTCTACTCTGCAATATACAGGTCAATAGAGCTGGAATTACTTAATGGCAACTGGCTTGGTTTGAGTACTGTGTGTGCGGCACTGGGAAGAGATGCCAGACGCCAGGAAGGTGAAAACTAATCCCTGCCTGGAGCTACATTCTAGGAGGAGCGTTCAAAGACTCTTTCAAAGAGATGATCCTATGAAAATATACCAGGGTGAATCTACATATGCACATATGCAGTATGTGCATGTGAGGGGAAAAAGATTGGAAGGATGTTCATCCAAATGTTAGTAAGTGACTGAGTAATAAGATCACATTTGGTTTGGACCTCCTATATAGTCTTCTTTTTAATAATAACTGCTAATTCATAAGAAAACACCCAATACCCTTGTTTTCTTTTTAATTAAAGCAGGAGAAAAGATTCAAGTTCTCAATTGCATTCCAAACGAATGCTTCAGAATCAGCTAAGTCTGCATTTAAATTCTAGCACTTCTCTTAGCTGTGTAATCTTAGGCCAGCTTACTCAACCTCTCTGAGTCTTGGTTCTTCATCTTCATAATGTAGGTGGCAAAGCTAACCTGCTAAAGTTGCTGTGATACATGGCTCTATGCACAGAGCAAGTGCCACAGGAGATGAAAGAGAAGAAAGCAGCCTTCTGGAATTGAAGCTGAACAGAGAGTGATGGGTGGCATTTCTGAAGGAAGGAGAGCAGTTAGAATTAGATACAGCAGGAGCATAGATAGAGAGGTGAGAGGAAAGTGGGCTGGGCCTTGCAGCCTGGCCAGGGCCTCGGAGGTATCTGAGCAGCAAACCTAGGGCCATGCGGTGGTGGTGGTGGTGTTCTTATGTGCTGTTGAGTTACTTGCAACTCATAGCAACTCTGTGTTCAGCTGCTCTGAACCCTGCTCTATCTTGAGCCAGTTTTATTGTCTCTGACACACCTATCCCCATTACCCCAGTTACTGAGTCAGTCCATCTCATCCAGGGTCTTCCTCTCCTCCACCCTTCCAAGTATGATTTTCTTCTCTAAAGACTGATCCCATCTTGAAATATGCCCAAACTATGTCAGACAGAGCTTCAGAATCCTTGCCTCCAAGGAGCAGCCTGGTTTCACCCTCTCCCTGACAGGCCTCTTATCATCACCACAACTCAAAGGCATGTGGCCCCACTCAAAGTCAGGAGGAGATTGACTGGAATAAAGACTGGCTCCACGGGGGGGGGGGGGGGGCTCTAAGAGTCCAGGCCAGAAGGGACAAAGGTCTGAATCGAAGTCTGAACTGAAGCAGTAACGGAGCTGGCAGTGGTGGAGGTGGAGAAGGATGTATTGAGACAGTGAAGAGATTGGGTTCTACACAGGGCAGGAGCCCCATATGGATATGCCTGTGGTATCAAGAACCCCCAGGCATCTCTGTTCTCCCACACGCCCTGCCCCACTTCAGGGCGTTCAGCCCATCACACCTCGCTCTTCTGAGAGTTCCATGGGCTGGAGTGGGAGCCTGAGACCTCAAAACTGAGCCCTAGACCCTCCCACTGTGCAACCCTGCTTTCTTTCTGCAGCTCTGGGGCGCTGTTTTCCATTGTCCAACAATACCCTACCTGAACTCCCAGGGATCTCTGGTAACATCTCCCAGAGCATCAGGTGGGCATCCCTGCATCACACATCTCTCCCCACCCTCTCCACATGCCACCCCTTCCTGCTTTTCCTCCCAGGACTCTGACCTTGTCTCTTCCCCACAGTGGTCTCCTTGACAGCCTCAATGCCCGAGACATCAGCGTAAAGATCTTTGAAGATCTTGCCCAATCCTGGTATTGGATTCTTATGTGAGTCACCAGAGACCTCCATCCTCCTGTCCTGCTCTCCTCCCCTCATTCTCTGTCCCCTAGCCCAAAGTCTGAAACAGAGATTTTGGAAAGGAGAAGAAGAGTCAATGCTCAGAATGGACCCCAAGCTCAATGGGCTTTGAAAAGGGAAAATGTGGAGATGTTAGGGATATAAGAAAAGACATTTGGGGGTCTCTGAAAGGGGAAAGAGTTGGAGACTAGAAGGGACCCTCACCTGCCTCACTGTGCCTGCAGATGCCTCGCTATATCTCTGGTCCTGAGCTTGCTGTTTATCCTGCTTCTGCGCCTGGTGGCCGGGCCCCTGGTGCTGGTGCTGATCGTGGGTGTGCTTGGCGTGCTGGCCTATGGCATCTACCACTGCTGGGAGGAGTACCGCGTGCTGAGAGACAGGGGCGCCTCCATCTCCCAGCTGGGCTTCACCACCGACCTCAGCGCCTACCGCAGCGTGCAGGAGACCTGGCTGGCTGCCCGTGAGTGCCCCACTCATGCTGCTACCCAGGGGCTGCCATGAACCCTGCCAGAGCCAGGTCCTGACCCAGGCCCCACGGCCCTCGTCTTCCCACAGTGATCATACTTGCAGTGCTTGAAGGCATCCTGCTACTGATGCTCATCTTTCTGAGGCAGCGGATTCGCATCGCCATCGCTCTCCTGCAGGAGGCCAGCAGGTCAGGCCCTTTCCACAGGAGATGGGGCCTTAGGGACAGGTGCAGGCAGTGCCGAGGTTAACACTGTTAACGCAGCTTAGCCTTTCTAGATCTGAGTTGGTTGTTCTGTATCATCGAATCAGAACCAAACCATAGCTGACCCTCCTCCAGGTTTTCAGAGGCAGTAAATCACACAGGAGGAGACTGCCCATCTTTCTCCCAAAGAGTAGCTGGTGAATTTGAACCTCGTGCCTTGCAGTTTGGAAGCACACCTTACAACTCCTTACTGCTAAGCCACCAGAGCTCCCTGTAGCCATCTGTAAGATGAGGGCAATAGTAGTTCCAACAGCTTGTCATGAGGATACAGTGAGTTAGTGTCCGTCAAGTGCCAATCATACGGCCTGGCACAGAGGACGTGGAAGTGGCGGTCACCATGGCGTGCTGGTTATCAGTGGGTATGATGGCAGGAATTCAGGCTGGGAGGAGAAGCGGCAGCTTGTTCATAACCAGGGTGGCTCTAGTCACCATCAACAGACCATAGAGACCGCATGGGGATGGTCTTCCTGTTTCCTCCCTGAAGTAGCCTCAAGTGGCTACTCTGTGCTTCTGGTCTCCCCTAAGACTTCCTAAGTCTGAGTCATTTAATTCTCCTCAGTCAGTTGAGTACTGTGTAGCCAGCCCTGCACAGGCACCAGGGAGACAGGTATGAAAGATAACAGTTACTACGGTGGCTGCTCCAGCCTGTGAGCAGTGGGGCCAAACCTGGCAAGGACAGAGTGGGATACTTGCAGGCAGGCCATGCTGTTGAGCATTCTTATCTCTCTGCAGGGCTGTGGGACACATGATGTCCACCTTGTTCTACCCACTGGTCACCTTCGTCCTCCTGCTCATCTGCATTGTCTACTGGGCCATGATGGCTCTGTATCCTTTGCCCTCACAGATGGATTCTCTTAGGGTCCCCAGGGGTCGGGAGCAGGACCCTTGCCCGCACCATCCCCCAGTACCATTGGAAGAGTTCCCCTTCCTCTAGGTAGACATAGCCTTGCATTTGCACTGAGTGGGAAAAAAAGGCATAGGCTGGACTTCAACCCCGTTTGCATAGAGTTAGAGTCCCTAGATGGAACAGACTGCTCAGCCATTAACCTGAAAGTTGGCAGTTCAAACTCACCCTTTGGCTCCACAGAAGAAAGGTCTGGCAGTCTGCTTCTGTAGAAGGAGCCGAGGGAACCCTGTGGAGCAGTTCTGCTCTATAACATACCAGGTCATCGTGAGTTGGGTTAACCTGAGAGCAATGGGTTTGGTTTGCTTGGTTTCTGCATAGCACACAGCTGCCCTGGGAAGGGGTCGTGTGAAGAGTCTCCGTGAGCATGCTTTCCTTGACTCTTCTCTGGGTACCTGGCCACGTCAGGGCAGCCCCAGTATGTCTTGTGGGCACCCAATACAAGCTGGCCAGGCTGTGAGAACGTGTCAATAAATGCGTCGTGTGACCCCATGGTGAGAGGTGATGGGGTGGGCATGACGGGGACCACTGTGGCTGAGAGAATGACTTTGTTTTCTAGTGCTGCTGTAACAGAAATATCACAAGGGGATAGCTTTAACAAACAAATCAATTGTCTCACAGTTGGGGAGGCTAGGCATTCAGATTCAGGTTGCTGCCTCTAAGGAAACGTTTTCTCTGTCAGCTCTGGGGAAAGACCTTTTGTCTTTTTACAGCTTCTATTTCCTGGTTTCTTGGTGATCTTCATGTGGTTTGGCATCTATGTTCTCCCATCGCTGCTCGCGTGCTTGATCTACTCTGTTCTATCTCAAAGGACATTGATGCAAAACACACCCTACACTAACTGTTGTTGTTAAGTGTCATCTCAGGCGACTCATACACTAATACTCCCTTATTTAACACAACCAAGAAAACCCTTTTCCAAAGACGATTATAACCCACATGTATAGGAATCAGGATTTACAACAGATATTTTGTGAGGGATACAATTTAATTCATAATAGAGGCCTGCTGCTCCAAATCCCTCATTGTATGCAGGAGATTAAGGCCCAGAGAGTACAAGCAGTCCATGGAAGGTCACATGGTCAGCCTCAGCAAATCTGAAAATAGAGTACAACTGACTTCAAATCTGATGCTCCCAAACTCAGCCATTATACAGACACAGAAACCTACTGAGAAGAGGCAGGGTATGCCTGAGGTCCCTGGACCAGAACTTATTCCACCCTCCCCAGAACATTCTTCCAACTTGTGGACTATTAACATGGTCAGTCTCAGTCCACTCATCTATAAAATGGAGTTCATTAAAATACCGGTCCCACAGGGTGGCTGAAGAAATAAAATGACAGATTAGACACATAAAGTGTTTAATCCAATGCCTGGCACCAGATGAGAGTTTGATAACGAGCGGTTGGTGGTTGGTTCATTTTTGTTGGGTTGGTTGTTTTTTTTTTTCCCTTCAAGTCATTCTCCCTGGGAACAGTCCTCAGGGGCCTGAACAGTAAACATATGGGCGCCTCCCTGCGGGGCCTGAAAGAGAAGCTACTTCCAGAAACACTGCCCCATGAGGTGGCCAGGGCGTAGTCTAGAACCCTGGCCTTCTGAGGATTTACTGTTCTCCAAGCCTCTGGTGACCTGGCACCGCAGGCTGCGTCAGCTGCCATTAGTCTCACTTGACATGACTGAAACAGGAAGGTCAGTTACATTGACCCGACACCTACTAAGTGCTAGTCATACGTGAGCAAACCCCAGAATGGCTAACTGGCTCCTCATCTAACAATAGAAACAAACCAACAATTACATGCAAAGTAGAAAGTGGTTTGTTTAGTTCCTTGTTATAAAAGTTTAAACACTCAGTTTCTATAGTTACTATCACTTTTGTCACGTTTGCTGGAAAGGGTTCTTTTCTATCTGTGCATTTTGACTTTTTATTATGGAAAATTTTTTACACACAGATGTAGAGCTAATAGTACAGTGCACCCCTAGGCCCATCACCCACATTCCATAACCCCCAACTTTCTGCTATTCTTACTTCCTCTGTATCTTCATTCCCCACCTACAATCCCCCTCCTTACCCTCTGGAGATTTTCTAAAGCAGATTCCAGAATTTTCATTGTATTTATATCAAACTAGATCTCAACAGATAAGAACATTTAAAAAACGTAACAGCTCCACTATTCAGTGCTTTGCTACTAACTGCAAGTTTGGTATTTTGAATCAGGCACTCAGAGGTACCTTACAGGAAAAGACACTGGGGTCTGCTTTTAAAATATTACAGCCAGTGGAAACCCAATGGAGGAGGGGAAAACCCCCCAAACCATGGAGCAGTTTTACTCTGAAACACATAGGGGTCACCATAAGTGGAATCAACGTCATGGTAACAAGTCCGTACCATCATCTCAACCAGTAAAATTAATAATAATTCCTAATATCATCTGACACTCAGTCTGTTTCATTTTGCTGGAAAGTACTTTGGCAGGCATTGCCCAGGCTGTGCTGTAAGCCCAGAGGAGAGACTGAAGGCTTCCAGGGAGAGACAGCTGAATGAGGACAAGACAGGGCTGGACATTAGTCCCAGGCAGCTTAGCCACACTATCTTTGCACACACCACTGACCTTGCCCAGATGGTCTGGGAGCTCTTTTGCCTCTCAAGAGAGTGAAGGAAGCAACACTCACAATAAGCACCATTTGAACCTAGAGATGGCTACTCCTGGCATCCTGTCTCAGGAACTGCTGCTTCCCTCCCTCTGCTTTGGGAGAGCCAGGGGCTGGTGAGAATGGGTAGAGGCTACAATTGTGCACTGAGGTCTCAGAGGGCTCTCTATCCTCCCAGAATCCATCAAAAACCTCATGTCCAGGGGAGATGTGTGTCTTCCAAAGCTACTCCTCCACAGGCCTAGTACAGCGCACTCTCTTCAACCTGCAAATCTACGGAGTCCTCGGCCTCTTCTGGACTGTCAACTGGGTGTTAGCCCTGGGCGAGTGTGTCCTGGCTGGAGCCTTTGCCTCCTTCTACTGGGCCTTCCACAAGCCCCGGGACATCCCCACCTTCCCCCTGAGTGCTGCCTTCATCCGCACACTCCGGTAAGCCTGGGAGAAGTGGCCGCAGGACTGTAAAAGTAGAGGTCTCAGGGCATTTCAGAGCTGTCTGTGACCATCCAGCTCTCTCTGCAGTTACCACACTGGATCGCTGGCTTTTGGATCGCTCATCCTAACCCTCGTGCAGATAGCCCGGGTCATTCTGGAGTACATTGATCACAAGCTGAGGGGTGAGTTGGAGTTTGGGGCTAGGGAAGGCCAGGCTGAACAGGTGGGTCCTCAGGGAGGGTCTGTCAGAGGCTTGTGGCCAAATGCAGGCCTCCCTTGTCCCTAGGAGCCCAGAATCCTGTGGCTCGCTGCATCATGTGTTGCTTCAAGTGCTGCCTCTGGTGTCTAGAGAAGTTCATCAAGTTCCTAAATCGCAATGCATACATCATGGTGAGCTGCAGTTAGGGAACAGCCCCTTGTTCTGGGGTCCTGAGGCCCATTCCCTACCTCAGGTCAGGCAGGTGCCTCAGGTAACTTGGACCTCTCACCTCACCCAGATTGCCATCTACGGGAAGAATTTCTGTGTCTCAGCCAAAAATGCCTTCATGCTGCTCATGCGGAACATCGTCAGGTCAGCCTGTTCCCCCACCTCGGTGTGGCCCCCTCCTCAGCTCTTCCATCCAAGCTGAACTGGGGAGTTTTCAGCTGTGTTCTTCAGGAGGATCCTGGGCTTATTAATGTTTTTCTTCATAGTTGGTTCCCCAATTTATGGAGCTGGTCCTATTCCAACCCTTGCCAGGCCTCTCACCTCAACTTTCCTTAATGCCGGTACAGGGTGGTTGTCCTGGATAAAGTCACAGACCTGCTGCTGTTCTTCGGGAAGCTCCTGGTGGTTGGAGGCGTCGGTGAGAGCCATAGCCAGGGGTTCTGGGTGCTGGGCCCCTAAAAGGCGAGGGACCTCAGAGGAGCAGCCCTGACCTCCAGGCCTCTCCTGCAGGGGTCCTGTCCTTTTTCTTTTTCTCTGGTCGCATCCAGGGGCTGGGTAAGGACTTCGAGAACCCCTCCCTCAACTATTACTGGCTGCCCATCATGGTAAGTGGCTTCTCTCCGTTTTACCTCTTACCTCCCCCTAAGAAACCTAGTGGCCTCACTAAGTCTTGTGTCTTCCAGATCTCCATCCTGGGGGCCTACATCATTGCCAGTGGCTTCTTCAGTGTTTTTGGCATGTGTGTAGACACACTCTTCTTATGTTTCTGTGAGTGACACTCCTACCACCTTCTTATCCCCCCAGACTACTCTTATATGGGGACTTGGTACTTATAAAAACTGCAGCTTTATCACTTAAGGAGAGCCAGAAGGCTATCTTCTGATATCCTTAGGCCACAAGGCTGGGAAAGAAAGGGAGGATTGAGCCCCAGGGTCTCTCAGGAAGGTGCATTCTGGAGAAGCCTCTGCTTGCTATCTTCTCATTGGAAAATCACCCTAATAGAGACTTTACAACTGGATCTTCTGATAGGGGTATGTTTTGCTCAGTTGTGTACATTTAGGGCTTAGGGTAGCAGTTTGTGTTAGACTACTCACAGAAAGATCTGTGGTATTAACCCAGCCATCCGTGCCATGAAAAATACACCTGGCTAGAGGCTTCCCTAAAGATTCTTCTTGTCATTGTCAGCCACTATCAAGCCAGTTTCAACTCATAGCAGCCCCAGGTTTCCAGTGTAGAATGATTCCCTAGGGTTTCTTTCAGAAGCAGATCACCATCCTGTTTCTTGAGGTGCCCTGGTTGGATATGAACTGCCAACAATGTAATTAGTAGTCAGGTGTTTAACTGGGACTAGGTAGGATTTCCTGGCAGGATACGGGTGGTGGTGATATGAACATGATTTGGAATCTATTCATAGCCCGGGATCTCTTCTTAGCCCAGCAAAGGGCTTAATTTTTTAAAATATGTACATATACTGATGAGAAGGGTTATCCTGGTTGAGGGTGGAGCTGGGAAGTAAAAGGGTCAAGGCTCTGGGCTAAGGGTGGGGTCAACACTGTAACTAATGCTTAACTCCACAATAAGGGATTTATCTTTCACTGCTTCACAAATTGCTGTCTGTCA